ACACATTTCAGTGCTCTCAGCCTCCCACTCCTTATAACCCTATCTCACTCGAACCCCTACAACCCAACCCCATTAATCTCGCTTAGCGCAGATTATTGGTGAAATCAGATTTTGCCGAGGGGGAAACGACTAAGGTAATCCGACTGACAGCCGAAAGGTAATCCGGCAGGGGTAATCCGAGGAAATTCTAAAAAATCCGTGGTAATCCGGGGGAATTTTGGGGTAATCCGGGAAAACTTTGCGGGTAATCCGGGGGAATCCTAGAGAAAAAGCAACGTAATCCGGAGGACACCCTGGAGGTAATCCGGGTAATCTGTAATCCGGCTGACACAAAGTTTAACAGTCGTTTCCCCCTCGGATTTTGCAGTAGGAAAAATTAAGTAACTTTTTTTAAAATCTATTTTTCGCTTACCGCACTGCAGCTGTTTGTCGCGCGCCCGTGTATATTCATGACGATTCGTTCGGTTGGTCTGGAATCGCACAACCAGCGCAGCGCTGTCTCCCTCTTTATTATATTTTTTTTATCAACCTTTTGGTGTGAGTTTTATTTCCGGGAAGTGGAGCTATGCTTTTCGTCTGAGACGGAACACAATTGCAGCCGCGAAGAGGTTGGTGTGGGCTGGGCACGCATAAATTATGCAAGGCGTTTCTGTTCCCAGTTGTTTACAGAAAAAAACACTTCAAAAAGAAACTGATATGGATGAGCACTGGAAACGCAAGTGTGTGAATGTCGCACACTTGTACGTGTGTGAATGCCCTTTCGTACACTTATAGGGGTAAACGTGTGAATTTTTCCTAATAAATTCACACGTTTACCCCCCCCCCCCTAAGTGTACGAATGAGTCAAAATTTATGTGCGAATTCACCTTCACGTGTTTAGGTATTTTCCATAGCTTTGTCTGTTTTTTGAAAACATTGATGGAGAGGGGGCACTGCAAAATGTGTGCAAATAATGGGTTCGTATAGCAAACAATTTTCTTTGCAGCTTGCAATGAATTTTGCAGCACTGTAATACGAATTAGTTCTTTGCAAGTTTTTAAACTATTTCTTTGCAATACAAACTCATAGTCTGTACGAATTCTGACAACTTGCAAAGAAATGATTTGTAATTAGAACCATTTCTCTGCAAGACAACACTAGCCAATTCTTTGGAACGTTGCCAAGAGTGTATATGGCCATGTACACACGTAGAGCTCTATGCTAAAAGCTATGTGCCGAAGTGTGTATCTGGTCATGTATGCAGTATTTGCTGCATACATGGTCATGTACACACTATTTGCTGCATACATGATAATGGACGCAGTATTTGCTGCATACATGTAGGTTCAGTAAATAACGCATACATTTACACACTTGGGTTTCCAGAGAAAGGCTGCCACCATGGCTTATGCGAACACTAGTGGTATGTGACCCAGACGTGCTTCCCGCACCTAGTTCTATGGAACAAAAAACATGCGGCGAGAGGCCGCGTATTGCGAAAGAATGAGCAGAGTGCGGCGGGGCTAGGCAATCCTATGTTATTGGGACTCACTTTGTTAGTCGGTCACGCCGCACTCGTCGTGATAAACAGAGACAGAGAGCAGTATAGTTGTAGCTATGATGGCTGGTGTAGTGTCGCCGTCCAACTCCCCGTGAAACGTTTAGAGCGTTGTGCGGCAAATGTTATCATGACGACTCCGCATGCCGCGGTGGGTCATTGCAAAGTCGGCGCTAGTAAGTAGTGCGCTGGGAACACATTCTGGACTAGCACTGTAAAAATAAAGGTGCCAAGTCCTAATTGGCTGAGCGATAGCGAAGCCTATTACTCCAGTGATGTTAAAAAGGTTTCGTGTCTGTCTGTCTGTCTGTGTGTCTGTTTGTCTCTAATCACGATAACTCGAGAACGGTTTGAGCTAGGTGCCTGAAATTTTTACTGTAACTTTGTCGCATAAAAAGCAAGAACTGTATTGATTTTGAGCCCTCTAGCTTAAAAATTGACCTGCCAAAAAAAAACAAAAAACAAAAAAAAACACCCAAAATATTACTTTTCAAAAATATATTTTTTAACATCTTTTCAAGAGGTATAACTCGTTTAAAGAGAACCCGTAGGGCCAAAATTTCGTCCGTTTGGCTTTATCTCTAATCGTTTAGTCGCCAGAGGGCGATTTCCACTTGAAAA